CCCGGCACGGAGGCTTACCGCATGAGGGAGGGCGACGCCGAACCGGATGAGATTGCTATCCAGGAGAACAAAAGCGAAGAAGAGACCTCCTCAGATGCCGTTCCGCCACCCTCACCAGGCGGGCAACCCATCCCCAAGACGGTTGTCGAGGAGGTGCCGGGCACGTCAGGGCCGCATTCAGAGGAATACGCAGAGAAGCGTAAGGCAGATGCACCGGCCGACTTGGTCCTCAAGGCGGAGGACGATGTCAAGGATGACGGCAGCAACACCGGTACGATGTAGAGATCCCTGAAATTTAAAGAGCATTCGTCATTGACCTGGCGTCCTTCGTAGATGTCCCACCTGTATCACCTGCGCTTTCCGCTCCTCCAGGCTCCCCTCGTATGAGACGGAAACCGTCAAAGAATACCTTGTCCTCTGCTCCTTCGAGTGCTGGCCTCGCACCGCCGCCCAATGAGGAAGACGGAGACGGCGATGGCGATGACGACGACTTTGGTGACGATTTTGACGACTTCGAAGAGGGAGAGGAAGGGGACGGTGGCTTTGACGACTTTGACGATGGATTCCAACAACCAGAATTCGATGCGCCTGCCCCAGCACCTGCGCCTGCGCCGGCCTTGCCGCAAGTTCCGTCATTACCATTCGTAAGTATCTAGATTAAGTACGCGCTCGACGAAGCTAACGTCCATATCTCAGTCTATACCCGACTTCGATGGCCTGGATGGCGAAGACGTTCTCCAAGCGGTCGACCCATACCTCAACACACTCTTCCCTCCAGAATCGCTTGACGTTTCACCACCCCCGCCATTAACGAAGGAGAACCCCATCTTCCTCACCCCACGGAGCGCATCGCTATGGTCTCAACTAGTGGCTCCCCCACCGCTCGCACCGCCAGACTGGATCCGTTCTCGCATCAGGCGCCTTTTCCTCGTCTCTCTCGGCGTGCCAGTTGACTTGGACGAGATTCTCCCTGCGTCCAAGCAGAAGAAGCTTGTACTTCCCTCATTGCAGGTCAACTCGTCAGGCTCACCACGGACTTCCTCAGACTCTCGTTCAGTATCGAGGGTACGGCAAGAAGCAAACGCATCCACAACGTCAGTTGACTCCAAGGGGAAACCATCGGTGTCCAAGAGAAAGGGCGCGCCGACTGCACCGGATCTGGACCTTGTGTCCGCAAAGCAACTCTGCACCACGACAGAGGAGGCTTTGAACGGCATGACGGACGAGGAGCTCAAGGCCCACGTCGCGAAACTACAGGCAATGGAAGGCACCGCCAAGGAGGTGCTGGAATACTGGACGAAAAAGACGGACGAAAAGATAGGCGACAGAGAAGCCTTCGAAGGCGTGATAGAAAACCTGGTCAAGCATGCACGCAAGGTCAGGAAATAATAATAGAAGAGGCTTGTTCATCTTCCGGGCCTATCTATCAGCATACACCGTCTAGTATCCTTTTGCAATTCCCTGTGAAATCGTGACACTACGCCGTCTCGAGTTGCTAGAGCTCCTAATGCCCCGGCTACATCAAGTCTAACGCGCTGGTGTGTCCTGTCATAAGCATTCATTACCCGCCTGGTACTCAAAAAATGCCGTCAACCCCCTACTCCCCGTCGGCTCTACCAGACTGATTCTTTTTTAGACTCCTGTGATGCTGAAGAAGGGGCTTTTGAGATTTATTTTTTTTTAAACTCAGTGTCCGGCCCGACTTTAGGCGGTGCTGGGCTCAAGAGTGACACCACTATTTCACGGTTAGCATGTGCAAATTTCACATTCAGCACTGGTCTGAGGTGACTTACGCAGCAATGGTGGCCCAGCCAATAAGACGCCAATGCTTCTCGATACGACGAGACAGGGCAACCTTCTCGCCAATGTTTGTGCAAGCAGGGCTGGTCAGGACAAGCTTAGCGGCATCGTTCTTGATAGCGGCAACCTTGGCACCAGTGGAAGTAGAGCCGATGTTGACCATGATGACCTCGTTCTTGGTAAGCTTAGCGACCTTGGCCTGCTTTCCGTCGGCGGTTCTGACACCGAGAAGACGGCGCAGGAGGTAGAAGTTGACCTCGATCTCGCTGTAGATCTCGGGCAGCTGGCCCTTAAGACCCAGGACGAAACCGACCAGACGATCGGCTCTGCAAAGGGTGGGGTCGATACGGGTACCGACACCGATAAGACCACCAGGAACGGCATACTTGAGGTCGTTGAACTCGGAGTTGAGGGAGACGATTCTGCTGAAAATGGGCGTGCACTTGAGGGCACCCTTGTCGTCTCTCGTGACGATACCGGGGCGGATCTCAATCTCGTCGCCGAGCTTCAGGACACCGTGCAGAATAGAACCACCAGCAACACCACCCTTGAGGTCGTCGATCTCGGCACCAGGCTTGTTGACGTCGAAAGATCGAATGACAATCATGTGGGGAGCCTGTGTGAAGTCACGAATCGGGACGGGGATGGTGTTGACGATGGCCTCGTTGACGGCATCGATGTTGAACTTCAGCTGGGCAGAGATGGGAATGACGGGAGACTTTCCGGCAACGGTTCCTCTGATGAACTTCAAGATCGACTGGTAGTGTTGCTGAGCGGCCTCCTCGCGCATAAGGTCGACCTTGTTCTGGAGGATAATGATCTTGTCCAGCTTCATGATCTCAATAGCAGCCAAATGCTCGGAGGTCTGGGGCTGGGGGCAGGTTTCATTGCCGGCAATGAGCAGCAGGGCGGCGTCCATGACGGCGGCACCTGACAACATGGTGCTCATGAGAATGTCGTGACCGGGGCAGTCGACGAAGCTAAGTGGAGCACAATTAGCCACCTTGCATTTCACGATTCCGGGGTAAGCTCTTTCTGTAGACAACTCACGAGACATGGCGCAGTAATCTGTAGGTACCGCTGCATCCTTCGCGCTCGCAGGGAGGGTCGACCTCCTTCTCACTCTTGTAACTCCTGAAGCATCCCGGGCGAGGGCACTCGGCGTTGTCGCACTGGTAGATCTTGGCGTTGGCGTAACCAAGCTTGATGGTAATGTTACGGATCAGCTCGTTCTTGAAACGGACGGTCTGAACTCCGGAGATGGCCTTGACGACGGTGGACTTTCCGTGAGCGACGTGACCGATGGTGCCGATGTTGATTGTTGCTTGGCGGGCGATGATCTCGGGGGTCAGAGGGGTGAGGGTCTTGACGTCGAGGTCTTTGGGGTCGGTTTGCGGGGGGAGAGGGGGGCGCTGGACTGTGGTGTCGGCGGTAACGGGGTTCGAAGACTTCTTGAGCGCAGGCTTGAGACCCTTCTCCTCGTTGAGCTCGGTCTGCTCCTCCACGGACTCGCCAGAGTCAGACTCGGAGTCGATATCGTCGTACTTGGGATCGCCGTTGGCAGACATTGTCGCGACAAGTTTGATGGTTTTGATGGCGGGGTAGTTTGTCGAGGCGGCTTTGTCGAGGGGTTTCTGCGACGGGCGGAGGGCGTCGAAAAATTTGGACTTTATGTTCGCCTGTTGACTCAGGTATTGGCCTTGACGGTTTCGACGGTACCGGGGGAAAGATGACGCTTCAGTTCGTGGGCTTCGTGACGTCGGGTCGGTTGATTTTTCCTCGCCGATGAGCGTCTCTTGAAATTCTAGGTTGTGGAAAGAGGTGACTCGACGCTAGTCCCGTTCGGGACTGATAAGATAAGGGTGCCCCTCCGGGCAATTCTCATGTGGAGGAGGTGAATGCCCAAAGAGCGAACCCCTTCTCCCCAACTCTAAATCCCATCTCAGCATGATGCGAATGACAGCATTACTAGAGACGTCTGAGGAGCTTCAAGAGCCAGACGATGTTTGTGCTTCCTTCATCGCAGGCATATTTTTCTCTAGCTACCATCATGCCGAGGCGGGACAAACCCGTCACAATTTCTCCACCAGCGTGTCGTCTCTGAATCAATTTCGACACAGTTAGCAACCAGCACCTTTAGTAAATTTGGCTGATGTCTCTGATCAACACCTTGAGAGACGTTTGAGGCTTGGACCCTCCTCACATTGACGACTTCGTCATGTTGAGCCAACAATCCATCCAATATATCTTGGTACTCGCAGAACGGCACAAACGACTAGCATTCTCCATTCCACGGCCCAGAGCATGGTGCCACTTTATTCGCTTCCTGAGTCACCTTCCAAAAAAGAAAAGCCATGCTTCTGAGTCTCCTCGAAAGCTTCCAGAAAGGCTCACGCGACATGGAAACATCATCGCCAGTGATTTCAACGAGCAGCTCTTATTACTACGTAGATTTGTCACTCACTGAAGTCGGCCTGTAGCCCTTAGCCTCGGTGAGCGACGGACATCACACAGTTGAAACGAGTGCCTGGGCGAAGGAACATTTTGCTCCTTCCAGAATAGAAGAGAGAAAAGACGATAGGTTCGGGATGATATTGCATTAGAAGGTCAGCCATCCCGTCAACCGGCGTTGAAGTTTAGAAGTTTAGCCATGGGACCACGGCACAGTTCTAGACGAGCAGAGAGACACTACACCATCGGCCATGTACAAGAAAAAGGCTACAGCAGCTCGTCTCCCATCACGTCTCTCTGATTGGTCGAAATTCCTAAAAATAGGTTCGGACGAGATGGAAAACCACGGGACACGGGCCAAGTCTTACCTACCTAAAACCTGCCTACCACCATCTGCAGTACAAGGGCGATCGCTGACGGTTGACAGATAGCCCGGACGGCGCCTAGCTCATTTCTCAACATCAGGTGGAGGGCGACACGCGTGGGAAGATGTGGTGATATCCATTTCTATTCTTTTTCGGCGCGTCTCACGGATCGACGGCACTCGACCCCAAACATCTAGGCTCGACGCAATTAGTCGCACCAGCACACGCAACATCGTCTTCGAGGCTCGAAAACATGGTGTCGCCAGGCTTTCGGATGCCCGGACTGCGCCTGCGATTGTCGGTTACCCCAAATCCCAGCATGGCCAACGTGAGATTTTGGTGCCTCCGTCGAGGGTGGTAGACGTGGAGGGGCAAATGCTATCCATGGCTACACCTATATCACACAATGTGTATCTTACAGCCAGCCTGCATGCAAACACCACCACGCTACAGTCACTCGCCGTCTCGCCGGGCTGTCATTCTGCGGCTTTGCCTACTCTGCGAGCCAAGGATGGGCAGACCTTGATTGATGGTCTGTAGACCCACCGCGAAGAGCACTTTTCTGTGCCGTTTGGAGCAAGTTCAGCGCAATGAGATGACTCGAGTGAGTGAGGAGCAGAGTCGCAAGAGACAAAAACGGCCGCGCAGGCGTTGTGGCCATTCCGTGTTTGCCATTCACCCAATTCTTCCCCCAACTTTTGCTTACCGCCGGAGCTGCATGTGGCTGGACATTTATCACGCACTTCTACTCGCTGATTGGCCGGGTGTTCTTGCGCCAACGTGCAAGCATGTGGCATCCGGAGCGCCTGTACGATTTGAGCCTATCATGACTGCAGTTGACGGACAGGGGGGCGGGCGGCAGCAAGGGTCGACTTGTCGATTTGGAAGAGTTGGCGCCCGTGGGTGATCAGGAGCAAGGGTTCCGCAAGCCTCCTCTTCCATCCTCCGTCCAACCACATCGTTGTTCACCCAGTTGCTGCTGGTCTGCCTCCTCTCAATTTGAACGACAACGTCCAATCACCATCCTTACGTCCATCGTCGAACCATGCGGATGCAACTGCAACTGCCGCCAAGCTCCAGTGAGCTTTGTCGAGGTCTCTCTCGCTGTCTGTATCAGTGTACAGTTAGAGTACGTACATGGCCACCCAGGTAGAAGCTGCAAGTTGGGTAGGGGAGGTCGGTTACTCTGAGAGATGACCGAGTGTGCATCCTCTCCTCACCCGTGCCTCTTTTCCCCTCTCTAGATGCCTTTTGGGGTTGCTTTGGATATTCTATATTCGTCCAGCGAGTTGGAAAAACTGCGCAATCCTTGGCTTTATTGAATGTTCCTCCGCCTTGGTTTGCCTCTTCCTCCGGCTGCTCCTCTCTATCATCTTTTCTGCTTAACAAGTCGAACCGTCCGTCATCTGCTGCAATCTTCTCGAAACTAAAGAGACTGCCCGTTCATTGTGTCAGTAGTCGCTGTCCACAAAAACGAGCTCGCTCGATTTAGTACCCGCCAGCTAGGAACAGGCGAGTTTCCACGACAGCTCTCAGAGCATCGGGCCAACCACAGCTCGGCGCCACCTCGTCCACTCTCGTGGGCGTCTATTTCCATCACGACCGAATCGCCGGCCTGGAACCTGGCGGTTCACCTATCAGAGCCCTGCTCAACTCGCGCCATCCTACCCTTCCGCTCTGCAGGTAGAAGTCCCCATCCCGCCTCGTCCCACTTACACCATGCTGATCTCCCTCCTGCAGTAAAAGAGGCCTTGCCTTGGACCTACTCTGTGGCGGCGCCAATTCAAAACCACCTTCATCCCCAAGGAACCGACCTGCTGGACCTCCCTCTCCTCCCTTCCGACAGCTGGTCTCGCCAAATCTGATTCCTATCGTGCCTCATTACTGCTTTGATCTTCGCTATCTGTCGCATGTCCTGAGTTCATCTTTCCTGTTGGCGACCCAAGTTCTAGGTTGCCTTTCCTATATACTAGACTCGTTTTTCTTGTTCTCTGTGATCTCTGGAGACACAGACAAAAACCTCCACAACCATGAACCCTCAAGGTACGTCTCTAACAAAGACATGTTGTTCAGCAACAATCTGACATCTTTGCCAGATGACAAGAGGCGGCCTGCCGCACTAAACCTCGCGCCGACTCGATCAGCATCCACAGACTCGTCTTCATCCGACTCATCATTGAAGCCCCCTCGTACTCCCCGCTTCGCGGAAGCAACATCAGTACACTCCCCTGTCGAGGGCACTCGATCGCCATTTGCCGACCCTCCCGCGAGATCAGAAGTTCCTCAATCCCAGCCTGGCGACATTGGCTTCGGCTACATCAGCAACAACGGCAACCGCGAGTCCGTTGCCGTCCCCATGACACCGAGATCACCACTCAAGAGCGCCATGAGGGTGCCAGGGACACCGGCACGCAAGATTGATAACCCTCTCAGCCCGACCTTCAGAGAAGAGGAAATTCTCGAGAAGCGTGAAGCTGCAACCGACAAGGAGCAGGCTCGTGATCTCGTATGTCGTCTTATCCCATCACCAAAGCTTAATTTTGGCTAACATTTTCACAGAAAATCAAGACACGCGTTCGCATGGCCAAGTTCGCTCTCCGTGGTGTCAACTTCAGCTGCAGTTTGATTATTATCTCCATGATCGCCGCGACCCTACAGATCTTCAACGCTACCAGGAAGCTGCCCGCCCAGAGTGGTCTGCCACCATGGGCTGAAGGCACCGCCATCTGGCCTCAAGTCCTTGTGATTACCAGTCAGTAGTCAACTCTTCTTAACCCGACGTCTCGTGCTAACGGTCGAAATAGTGTCTTCCATCTCTCTCGCCGTCTGCCTAGGAGTCTTCATCGCATACTGCCGTGGTGGCCACCACCGAGCCGAGAAAGTCGCAACCTACTACACGCTCTTCGCCATCGGCTGGTTCATCCTCTCCATGGTTCTCTGGGCTGTTGCCGCCGGTATCTTCCAGTCAAGCCGCAACAACGGCGGAGGCAAGGACATGTGGGGATGGAGTTGCAAGGAGAACAAGCGTGCCGAGGTCTTCAGCGAGAAGGTCGACTACGCTCTTCTCTGCCGTCTCCAGAACTGGGCCCTCATCTGCATGGTCATCGAGATCGTCATCGACGTCATCTGCGTTCTGCTCTACAGCATCGTCTTTTACCGCTACTACACCAAGCGCCGCCTGCACAAGTCCATGGACATGCGCGACCGTGCTCGTTCCGACCTCTACCTCGCCCAGCTGCGTTCCCAGTCCGCCCCCAACACTCCGGGCCTCAAGTCTCCCGGTCTCTACTCCCAGTACACTATGTCTCCTCGCCACCCGGAGGCGACCTTCGAGAACCTGTCCCGCATCGAGGAGGCCTCTCCCTTCACTCCCGGAACCCGATTCGTCGAGCCCGAGTCCAGCTTCGCCAAGCCCAAGTCTACCTTCAAGCTCCAGGCTCCCCCAACGAAGGCCCCGTCTGCGACACCAAAGACCAACGCGACCGGTTTCACGCCGACCTCTGCCACCGGCCCCGAGCCGAACTTCCCTCCAGTGCAGCAACAGCGTTCAGAGTCGCCTCAGGGCCACGCGCCAATGGCTGCCGACGAGCCCGTCTACGAGGCCGTGCCTATCCCAGGTGCCTACGCGGATGCTCCCGTAAAGAGCCCGCCACCACACCAGTTCAACTTTGGCACCAGATAAGACGGGGGGGGGGATATTGACATGATGTACGAGACGGATGAGGATGAAATTGACGTGCCACCAAAAAAGGAGACTATTTATATTTCTTTTGTATCAGCTGAGCTGGATTCTTTTACACGTCTCCTTTTTCTTACAATTCGACACGAGTCGATCTATATACCATTCAGGCGTTGGGAAAGGCAAGACGAAGATAGGAAACGTCCATTTCATTTCGTCCACAGGTCATGAGGATTGGCTCTTTGGACATACGTTAGCGAATAGGCCGTAATTACAACCCTTGTATAACTCTTTTAACTCCTCGTTTCTTGCTCCTATTCCTGATTCTCTTCTTTATGATGCGGCGACCTAGTTGAGTCATGGTTGCTTGCTAGTGAGTTCCCCGGCGAGGTCCCGGGAAGGATGGCCCCAGTTTACCGGCTCCTCCGTGCCCTTGCCCTTTTCCACTTCTCCCACCAACGACAACACCACCGACGACGGAATTCCACTATGATTGTCTCCATCGTCTGCCGACCTCAACAACACCAGCTGGGTTCCAATCGCCCGGCTAGCTCAATCGGTAGAGCGTGAGACTCTTAATCTCAAGGTTGTGGGTTCGACCCCCACGTCGGGCTCAATTCCCGTCCGCGATTGACCAGCATTCATTTTTTGGACTTTTTTCTTTGCTCATCGAAGTGTTCTTCTTCGCCTTTCCCTTTTCTCTCTCAGACTTTCATGTCCTAGGCTTTTTCTTGCTTTTTGACGCCCCTTCAATATTCGTCGTTTTCTCATGTCTGCAAGGCGTTAATCCAGTCCCAGACACATCAGTAGACGCTCGTTTAATAACTAACCCTCTACAGGGAGCTGATATTCAAAAAAAAAATGTTATAGCAAACACAAATTGCAGCAGAACTAAGATGTTTCTTCATCATTCATCAAGCATCTCCAATACTCCTGCCTAATCTCCTTTACCCTCCCAAGCCGTGTATGCTAATATCATGATTCATCTACGTCGTCAAGGACCCATCCGTGCTGATACAATGCTCCTCGACCTAGACAATCGAAAAATCCCTTTGACAACAGAGCCGACAGCAGCATGCAAGATAGAAAGACCAAAAACTGAACTCATCAATCAGCCAATAAACTCCGTACACAAGAGTGGTTCCCATGGCTGTCCTGTCATCCAGACTCTCTCCATCAGTCGCCTCGCCTTGTGGACCTATACAGAGACATTAGCTTTCAATAAGTAGAACGCTAGTGAAGGACGGCGTCGCACCTGTGTCATTCCGTTGCCCTCCACACTCCTAAACCTCTTAAGAATCCTCGACCTCTGATCCTCGTCAAGCGTGTTACACCCAGCGGTGAACATTGGAAACAGAAACCCCGTCTCCGCGGTGCCTCCGGCCCTGACGTACTCCATGCAAGAGAAGATTCTCTGCACAGGTCCTTGGACGTCCGCGTGGCCTGACGACTTGCCGAACACACGCCGATGTATGTGGACCAGCCCAGCCCAGTGAAAGGCCTCGTTCATCAGCACCATTTCCTGCCTATCCCTAGCCTCGACACTTTGCACATGTCTGCAAGGATGCGACGGCTGCGTCATGCTTTCCATCAACTCTCGCTCAAGCTGCTGGGCACGGCGGACGCAGTCAGTGTCTGGGATCCATTCCGGTCGTGCTTGGCCATCGGATCTGATGCGCTGCATATCGCAATGGCGGGCAAGTTCTGATACTTGTGCAAGCAACTGAACGCATTTCGTAGTGAACCCCATGATGCAGTCGATTTCATACTGGTCGTCGACATTGTTATACATTGTGTACTCGAGTACCCATGACCTAGATGGGTCGGAACCCGTACCGCCGCTGAGGCTTCCCAAGACGTCTAGGTAGGCTAACCAGCACCATAAGAAGGAACAGACGCGGTCCTCTTCAAGACTGTAAGAGGTTCTTCGAAGATCGGCCAGACGTCTTCGCATGAGATCGCGAGCAAGGTTCAAGTGCGTCTGCCAAGGAATTTCGTAGCCGAATGCCGTGGGGGATATGATCTCCAGAGACGCAAGCATGATAGCGGTTGCGAGGCTTGTGTTGGAGATGATTTGTTCCCTGTCACCCAACGCGAGGCGGAGGACGGGGAAAATATCTTGGACCCAAAGGGCGATTCTCATCTCGGGTTCCCTTTGACGAAGAAGCTTGGCCCGGTGAGACGCTACTGAGGAATTAGTTTGGAATGTCCTCAGAGCATGAACCTGTTGCTTGCCTGAATATGCCAAAAGCAAACTCAAGAGGTGATCGTTTCGAGTGGCCATTTGCGGCAGGACTGTGCGGAATGGATTGGAACTTGGGTCATCGTAGGGAACAAGAACTTTATGCGTAAGCGCCGTGCTTTATTCACCGAGCAGAAATCTTACTCTTGGCTGTGTGATTAAGAAAATGATGCTTTGTGTGAAAGTCAGTTGGAGCCTCCAGAGACGAGATTTGAGGTCACGAACAAAATACTGATTTCAATTAGCAGGTTCATCCAACAAACGTGGTGCCACGCAGACCACGGATTGACTTACCAAGAGATTCATCGGGTTATCTCGAAGCCTACCAAGTGTTAGAATCGCCAAAAGGCTCGCGACTTGCTACTTACTTCGAAGGAAGGGGCTCGAGATTACGAGGAATTCGAATCAAGATGGGCCTGTCATAGTAGCCCCCTGTCATTCGAGGTAGGACACTGCTCTGCAAACCAATGCCACTGGGTTGAAGAGGCGGGAAGCCACCACGTCCACCACCCATGACAGTCATAGAACTCTCAACGTTCGAGTTTGTCTTGGAGATAGCACCTAAATCGTTGTTCTGATTTATATCGGCGTCTCGAAACCCGAGGTCATAGCCATAGAAGATGGCATCTTCCAATACGTCCTCCTTAGGCCGTAGGTCTGGCAGAGGTGGACCGAAGTTGTATTGAGCGTGCTTCTTTGGTCGATGAGTTAAGTCCGGGGACCCCGATAACAGGTAGTCTACCGATAATCTGCTGTTGTCAGCGGACGCTGGTGACGGAAGGGTAAGCAATGGAGTTGCTGCGTCATCGTCGGGGTTCATTCCTGAGGATACTGGCGTTAAAGGCAATGCCCGAACTTTGGGCCCAGTATTAGAACGCATCCGACATATTGGAGGACTCGCTCCAACAAGTGATGCCGGAGAAGCTAGCAGGCTAGGTTGGCGA